CATTTATACTTGCTCAACAAGCGGAACAAGTTATTTACACATTATACCCTACTTCCCAACAAGGGTGGAGAGGAGTTATCAAAACCAAAGCCCGGAATATTATCCCTAAGTCGATGGAGTCAGACTCAAATGATGTGACTGATCCATTTCAGGATGATGGGGAACATGAACTGCCTGTAAATGTTGCAGAGGATGATGTGCCAAGCAATCTTTTTGATTCTGCTGGAGAGTTAGAGTTAATTCCTGTTATATTGGACAATGAGGAATCAGACGATGATGAACAAGATATTTATTCAGATAGTGAGCCTGAATTCGATGATTATGAGAGTCCAGAGGAAGGTGGGCAAGAAGAATTCAAAGAACAGGAATCGTCCGATTGATTTCAATTATTCTTTCTTTAAGTTTATCTGTTGTACTAAATAAATAATTTTTATTCACAGGCCACATGTTATATGTATTATACAATTATGTTTTATATTTTTTATCTTTTAGGATCTCTGTATGGTGTATGCATCCATTAGTGACAAATGGATGGCCATAACGGTAGACGTCGTATTGCATACTTATTATATTTATATATATTTTTGCATTATGTTTATAAGTTTTCACAGATGGTTCATACAGATGGGCGTACTGGTAGTGATGGTAATGTCAGTAGAGGTCGAGTTACAGGCCGTGGTGGCAGAGGAGGTAGGACGACATCATCTACCCCTTCTGGTAGAGGTCGTACAGCTTCCTCATCCCTCCCTCCACTTTGGATAGGATCATCACCATCTACCACCGACTCTGTTATGGGAAGTGCAGAACTTCCTCATACTCCCACTGACCCGATAGGGCCGACACAGCAGGTTAAGTAAACCATCATTTTGTGATTTAGATATATATTATAGTTTCTTTTAAGCATCTCTCTACTAACTTTTTTAATGCTTAACAGTTTTTCCCTTTTGCAGGTTGCATCCCCTGCAAGCGAGGTAGGAGATGCTGCTTCGGCACTTCAGCCAGAATGGGGGAGGTGTGATCCACAGACTAAACGTATATGGGTTCGTCCTTTAGGCACCACAGAGTAAGTTGTAATTGTTACTAATGATGTACTAATGTGGCTTCTAGCATTGCTCAATCGTTATAATCAAATAAATTGATTTAATATTGTCAGGTTCGAACCTTATGATGAGATCATGAAATACATTGATAATCAAATATTCCGTAATTTTAAACATGTATGGAGCACCTGGGGAGACGTTCCTAAAAAAACTCGAGATGGTTGGATGGATGAATTTCTGGTAAGTTATGTATATCTCGTTAATGCTAATCTTTTATTACAAAAATGTATACTAACTACACATTTGTGACCAATTTGTGCGCTAATCGAAAAAATTGGCAATTTACAGAGTCATTATAGGTGGTTGCCCGAGGATCGCCATAACCTGGCAAGAGCTTGGCATCACAGAGCCACCACAATGTTCGTAGATAAAATGCATAAAGTAAGATTTGACATGGGTAAAAATGCATGGTGTAGTGAATCATTAAAAATCCAATTGAAAGAAAAATGGAAAAATTGTCCTAAGTTTCAAAAGAGATCTGCTCAAAATAAGGAAAATAGGGCCAAGCAGGGCACACCCACAAATGCTGGAGGGTCGATTCCAATCAGCAAGCATCGACAAAGGATAGTAAGTATAAAAAGTTTTCTAGTTCGGTATTCAACAATTCGTACTTGCAACTAATGAATTAATGATTTTCATTTGTATTTCCAGGAGGCTTCTGGAGAAGTGCTGCCTGAAAAGGTTGATTGGGCTACCTTCGAGCAAACTCATTCCCAGCAGCCTAAAGTTGGTCAAAGGCGTTGGTTAGGCCCCAAAGTGAAGCTAATAGCGGTTTGATCATTTATCATTTGACGTTTGTTTTTTCTATGATGGTTTATGTTATGTTTTACATGTCCATATGTGTGCTGATTTTTCTTTACTTGCAGGAAAATTATCAAAAACTTGAAGAGGAGATGTCCGCACAGGTGGCGACAGACGGTCAATCCAGCTCCTCCTATTCCGATAATGGGAACATGTTGGTTACAGCTGCAGGTGGATTCAACAAGAAAGGAAGGGCGGTCGGGCTGGGAGGATATGCTAGCCGACTGAAGCCCAGTAAGCGGCCCTCTACCCAGATTGACAGTGTTTCTGCAGGGAAACTCAATGCATAGTTAATTCTTTTATATTTTCAATCTCTATTCTATTAATATTTTATTTTAAAAATTTAACTTACTGTTTTATAATAATGTATTTGCAGATGAGCTTAAAAGGATGAGGGTGTCCCACTCCCAGATGCAGGAGCAATTGCATGCTAAGAAGGAGCAATTGCATGCTACGACAGAGCAGCTAACTCAGCAAGCGGACTTTATGAAGCAGCAAGCTGACATTATGAAACAAATGCAGGAACAACTTTGACTTTTAATGCAGGACAAGGAAGCCAACTGCAACAAGTCGAAGGGACCGGTGCCGGATGATGACCCAGATGATGATGATGACTTTGCTAGGACTTTAGAGGCATATTAGTTGTTGTTTGTATGTTTTACTTCTTTTAGGACTTCAGAGATATATCCGATATTTTTTGTATGTTTTATTTTGCTTAGAACTTTAGAGACATTTTAGTTGTAGATTTGATGGTTGTTGTTGTTCACTTTTGTTGATATACTATTTAATTTTAATTTAATTGTTTATCCAGTATTTTTTTGGATTTCTGTTGCTCAATTTATGTATTTATGTTCATTTGGAATCCTTGTTGTTTACAGGAAAATTAAGAAAAGTTTAATACATTTTTTTTATTTCTTTTACTTTAATTCCAGAATATGTGGCGGAAATTTTTAAAATTCCCTTGCAAAATTTGTAGCATTTTGCGAGGGAAAATCAAAATGTTCCCTTGCAAATTTTGCAACGGAAATTTAATACACCCCTTGCAAATTCTGCTACGGAAGTTTGCAAGGGAAATTATACTCGACATTTCCGTCGCAATCTGTGACGGAAAAACATTGTAGATATGTCTGTTATTTGCGAGGGAAATTTATTTTTTTGCAAGGGAACTTTTCCGTAGCAATTTGCGAGGGAATTTTCATATGACAAATTTCCTTTGCAAATCTATTTGCGACGAGGGTTTTAGCAAGGGACGGTGTTCCCTCGCAAATTCCGTCGCAGACAGTTTTTGCAAGGGAATTAGGCTGTTTTGCAAGGGAATTTTTCCCTTGCTGATTGTGAATTTTCTAGTAGTGTGTCACATTGTAACTAAGCAAACTAACGTTCCACGTGTGCAACGTTACAAACGCCGTTGGATGCCAACTAACAAAACGACTAACGTGGTCTTTTTGTCAAATTACAAGGACCACAAGTGTCCTCTTTTATTGCTAGGGATCAAAGAGGATATCGTGAAATTGGTTAGAGACCAAAAATAGTATGTATTCTTTATTTTATGTTGTATAGGAAATAATACTTAATCTTATTTTATAGGAGACTTTAAGGGACACGAAATTTTTTCCAGTATCTTCATAATATCATTGCTGAAAAAAATCACCTAATTACATTTTATTTTACCAATTTGTTTATGGTTAATGCCTACTTCAGCTACATGTATGTGTGGATATTAGAAAGACTTATTTCATCAAAAGTGAACATTTTTTTTTTTTTTGGGGTGAGAAAAGTGAACATTTTTCATAGAAGTAATACCGTAATAGAACTGCTTTCATAAAATACTGCTTTCATAAAATAAACATTATGTCTTATGCCTCCATTGTGGTTTACCACATGATATTACATTCTCTACAAAGAAAAGTTGGTTTAAGAACGGCAAATGCTTTATACATCCAATAGAATATTCTGGAGGAGGTATTGAAGTATTTAGTGTTTTGGTAATTTAAAAAATATTAATACTTTGTTTTAAGATTTGACGAAAAATATTAAATACTTTAAATGATTTGGGATTAATATTTCTTCTGTAAGTTAATTTTTTCTTTTATCTCTCTATGTGAGTCCAAGAGATAAAATTAGTTTCTCTAGGAAAAATATTAAACCCTTTTTAATATTATTATATTCAACCATAAATGGTTAACTACTATATATTTATTATTAATTATACTTAGGTTCATTTTTTCTGCTGCAGATAAGTTATCTGCAGTAAGTCCAATACGACGTTGTTTTGAGGCGAAAATTATGGTGTTTTGTAATTTTAATTTATTTTAAGGTTATAATAGTTTTTATATTTATAATTTTTAAGATTTCAATACCAAAACGACGTCGTTTTGAAAGTAAATGCAGATAACTTATCTGCATTAACACCAGAAATATTTTTCCCTTATATGTGTTCAAGCAATTATCATAATTGTTAACAAATGTTTTTAGAATATTGATTAAGAAATCAATAATAAAAAAATATCAAAGAGATATTAAATTATTTTTTTTTTAAAAATTTTAAATAAATTTATTGATATTTAAATAATAAAATTATTTGATAAAAAATAAAAAAAATTTCTTTTTTATTAGTAAATATACTAAATATTTCTTAGCTAATACATTTACAAGATTATAGAATTAATAATTAATAAATGTTTGATAAGGAGAACGAACTTAGAGCAAGAGTAAGATTCTTCCTTGTGATCAGAAAGTTATACCTCCATTTTTAGATAATAAAAATGCAAAAATGAGCTTGGTATACAATTGACCTTCACTACTACTACATTAATAAGAATAATTTTATATTTTTTTTGTTTCTAAATCATGGCTTTAATATATTTTTTAATTATTAAATATATATATATATATATATATATATATATATATATATATATATATCATTACTCAGTTTAACATCTGAAATCAATTAATGTAACCTGTAATTTGAGACTTGAGAGCATAAGCTTCCATTATCTGCGTGGCAACATGTGGATCGCAAGAAATCTTACCGTATGGATAATTCAACAATAATCTATGCGGTTCCCAATTTTCCTCTTCACCGAGAACACTGCACACACTTCTATCAATCAGCATAATACAAAGTCCTTCATTTTCAAAAGCCATAGCCACATAGTAGCAGAATGTTGGGTTGGTTACAATAAAATATATGGAAACCAAGCATTGATTATGCATATTTCATAGTTTTGGAACAATTTAAGAATACCCAGAAAGTAAAAAAATGATTTTGCTTACTCAACAACAACCACACCCACTTTTCTTCTTTTCATCTACCTATAAGTCCAACCCTACTCCATATCACCATGTCCAACTTCATCTTGGTTTTAATGTGTTCACCCCATTTTCACATGTGCCCATCATGCCCATTTGCACAGGAAAGGATTGCAGGAGGAGGAACTGGAACAGATTTTCCTCTTCTTCTTCTTCAACAGCACCAGCTCCATTGCCCCCTGACCCAGATAAGGTTTTATTGTGTTCTTATTATCCTCTTATCTATTATTTTAGCATAAGTATATTGTTAAATTAACAATAAAAATTTCATTCATTCATCAATCATCACAATTTTAATAATAAATTTCGTAAGAGGAAAAAATAAAAAAGGAAATAGTCATTTTTAATTTATTTGTTAACGGTTGATTTATGATTTTTCACTAATATGGTAATGTTAAAACTAAGAGGGCGAGCGTGAAGCGTGTTTTTTGTGATCAAAAAGTCACAAGTTCGAATCTGAAAACAACCTCTTTGTAAATATTTATAAGGGGTAAGACTGTGCATTAGGTTTATCCTCATGCATAACCTTATTGGTCAGGGTTTAATGGGAGTGATTTTTATTTTTATTTTTTATGATAATATTAAAAGTAGATATGAGAGAATACATTCCATGTGTTTCTATGGATTTTGTAAAAAAATTGGTCAATGTGTAGTATTAAAAAGTTGGAAAATTGTGTTGGAAGTGCAGCAACAAGAGCAAGTGAGGGAAGAAAGTGATGGAGTAGTTGCCCAGGGTAAGAGTCCTGATCTGAAGACGCTTTTTAGAAGGTTCTGGAAAGTGGCAGCCCCTTATTGGTCTTCAGATGACAAGGTCCAAGCAAGATTGCAGCTTGCTGGTGTTTTTGCTCTCACTTTGGCTACTACTGGAATCAGTGTTGGCTTCAATTTCCTAGGAAGAGACTTCTATAATGCACTTGCCAGTAAGTTCATGTGTATATTAATATGGACATAACTGCTTTGAGTTATCTTCCATTTGCCATCTATTTGGGCATTCAGAGTTTGCTTGTATATGAGATTTTATGCTGTTTTTGTTTAATTAATTATTTACTCTAGTATGAAGCAGCAACAAGCAACTGAACCTGTTTAAGTTTATTAATGCAAGATAAGGATCAAGAGCAATTCACAAAGCAACTACTTTACTACTTGGGTGGCTTTGCTGGAGGAATCCCGGTGAGCACATTGCTGCACTTTATTAGGTATAGCTCTGCTAGACTTTGCTTTAGTTCTTAGAATAATGAGTATTGTCATCTGATGCAGCATGGTAATTGGAAAGAAGCAAGAGTTAAAAAGAGAACTAGGTCAAATTCGAATTGTCTAGATGTGACTTGAATAGCACACCCTTTTCATGTTTTTTGGGGTTTTATCTGTTATATGAGGACTTAGACATCATAATTATTTTTCCTCTTTTGGTCTTTTCGGAAGTAATTCCGTTTCTTCTAAATCTGTAATTAATCTTGAAATGAATGACTTCCTGGATCTAATGCTGAGTACATCAAGATTTTAACCCAAACAAAGGGGAAAACGAATGTTAAGTGAACTACATGGCTAATTTTGAAGCAGCTATCAACAGGTTATATGTAGGTCTGTAATACAATTACATTGACGTTCCATTTCTTTCTCTTTTTCTTTTTCTAAAGTTTTTTATCGTGAATAGAAACAAGCTCTATGGATGCCTTTCTTTTGTTTTGACGTGCCTTATTCTGATCTTCTACATATGTATCTTACCTTGTTCATCATTGTGTTGCAGTTTTTTGTATTGAGAGATTATGCAAGAGAAACTCTTTCTTTGAGATGGAGATCTTGGATGACGAGCTATTACATGGATCGCTATCTGAAGAATCAGACTTTCTATAAAATTCAGTCTCAGTCAATCATTGATAATCCGGACCAGCGAATTGTTGATGATCTAAGTTCTTTTACTGGGACAGCCCTTTCTTTCTCCCTGACACTCTTTAATGCTGCTGTAGACTTGATTTCGTTCAGTAACATCTTGTATGGAATCTATCCTCCCCTCTTCGTTGTTCTTCTCATATACTCTATTGGTGGGACAGCTATCAGTGTTTTCCTTGGAAGGGTACTGAGTCTTTCTTTTTATAGTGATAGTTTAAATTGTGAGGCAAAACCACCATTTTGATTAACTGGAAATTGTGAAAATGACAGGGACTGGTGACTTTAAATTTCTTGCAAGAGAAAAAGGAAGCAGACTTTCGTTATGGGCTTGTACGGGTTCGAGAAAATGCTGAATCGATTGCTTTCTATGGTGGTGAAGATAGTGAAATGCAACTTCTTCTGCAGCGCTTCAGAAGTGCTTTTGAAAATCTGACTGTGAGATATTTCTTCTTTATGTTTACTTTTTTTTCTCTTTTAAAACTATTATTGTGCAAGATGTTACCAGTATCTAATTATCTATGTTCATTCCAACCAACTTACTTTGTTTCTTGAGTTTTTATTGCATTTATATCTCCCTCTTAAACTGCTAGATTTTGCATAATCAACATGGCATAAGCTGCATTTAATGTAAAAGGATATCGATTTGTCTGTTATCATTTTCTTGATTGAAGAAACATAAGCAATATGAAATATCTAGACTTCAATATAGGTCACAGAATATTACGTTTGAAAGCTAATCACGACTCTTATTTCATAACCATGTGGACTGGCCAGTTTTTTGGAATTGGGCTACTCTATTAAGTACCAAATCTAACCTTGTTGCTGCATTTGTTCTTTCTCTTTATTATGTAATGCAGTTTCATCCTCTAACCTACAATAACATGATGATGAATGTTATAACATTTTTTTTAATTTTTTTTTTTTACTTTACAGCAATTGTTGATTTCTTCTAGAAATCTGGAGTTCTTCACCAGTGGCTACCGGTATCTCATTCAAATTCTTCCTGCTGCTGTTGTTGCTCCAATGTATTTCTCTGGAAAAATTGAGTTTGGTGTAATCAATCAGTCTGTCTCTGCTTTTAATCATATCCTTGGTGACTTTTCCCTCATTGTGTACCAGTTTCAAGCTATAAGTGCTTTTTCTGCTGTTATTAATCGGTTAGGTACAGCATTCTTTTTCCCTTATTTTTCCTGTTACATCTTTACACTTGTGGATCTCATGAAAGATACGAGCATAAAAGATTGAACTTTTACTCTGCTGAAAAGAGGGAGCCATTTTAAGTTAGTTTGTGGTTTATTTTGCATATACATAAATAAAAGATCCAGAAAAGAAAAGAAGATATGTTAACGTGTTAAAGAGGTTATATGTAAGACAACTATAACTGTCTTTTTCCTCTTTATATAATTTGACTCATATGTACTGGCACAGTCAAATTCCTACGAGACAAGGCTGCTTAATAAAATAGGAAAGTTTCTGAAAATTTTGTCTTTGATTGATAACTCTTGTTTTTTTATTTTAACTATTTAATTTGTTATGCCCATTTCTTTCTCTATCTTCTGTCTTTTTGGGCGCTGCAATGTGTATTGCAAGAAAGTAGGTATACTCTCCTGTCTTTGAGATATGTAACTGTCCCATCTCTGGTCTTATGTATGCATTTGAAACTTTCTCTTTAATCCATCTACGTATGTATACTTGGCATGCTAGATTTGTTGCTTCGAACATAATGAAAACTACCGACTAATAGTTTCTGTATTGCATATGCAGGTGAATTTGATGATGTTTTGGACAGAGGCAGCTCCAAGTCTCTCTCTGATACTTTGGAAAACATACATATTACATACAAAGATTTTAGTAGTTCATCTGTATTGGAATCTAATGGATCGATTCCACAAGAAAAGAATGAAACATTTTTGGAAATTCAAAATTTGATTCTGAAGACACCAAGTGAATCCACACTTATTAGAGACTTGTCATTGACGATCAAGGAAAAGGATAACTTACTGGTAAGACATCCACTGGCCCGTAAGAGTTGAGGTTTATACTGTTAAGTTCATAAGACTATAGGGCTCTACAAATGCATTTATTTCTAAATATAGCCGATTTAACAGGTAATGGGACCGAGTGGAAGTGGCAAGACTTCTTTGTTAAGAGCTATGGCTGGTTTATGGAAAACTGGAACTGGAAAGATCATATACTATGTCAAAGGCAGAGAAGATCCCGAGCAAACCATTTGTTCAGACGCAAATACTCCTTTAGTAAATACTGCTGATGCCACATATGAAGAAGATGGAAAGTTTATAAGCAGAAAATCCAGAATATTTTTCCTTCCTCAAAGGCCATATATGGTTTTGGGTACTCTTCGTCAACAATTACTATATCCAACTTGGGCCGAAGATGTAGTTCCTATATCAGATAGTACTAAACCAAGAGGTATGTGGTTTCTAGTTTCTTTTCCCCACATACCTACACATTTTGTTATTAATTCCTATGCAAACTCCATACTTTTCTCTATTAAAAAATATGTCTTTTGTTGTGGTTTCTCTGTCTGCATCTCATTTGCTCTGATTTACTCTATTGCAATTGTTCAGAGAAATTATAATACTGTTGCAGTTGCGGATTTGACATAGGAGATGCTGAAATGATGAGGATGTATTTTTCAGTAGGAATGCCAGAAATGCTCTTTTAGTTTTTCCGGGAGGCTTTATAATGATTAGGCATAAGGGGAAAAAAAATCTGATCCAATAGAGAGGCTTAATTACAAAGATAATTTATATATAGGAAAGGTGACAATATATGATTGTTATGCATGAGGTATTATAAGCTAAGTTCTCATGAAGATGCAACTGTAAAGAGACTTGGTCTGTTTGAATTCTGTTTCCAAAAACAGTGTTTTAATTTTCAGAATGTTGAGAAATATAGTCCCACATTGGTTGTATGTGCAACTAATGTGGAGTTTATAAGGCCTTGGGCACTCCCACCCCTTGAGCTAGCTTTTGAGGTGGTGTATCTCAAGGTTCTTTACATGGTATCAGAGCGTTCGAAATCTCACCGCTTCCCACTTTCTTTGTAGTGGAATTTTCACATGTAAGTGGGCTTGTATGTTGTCCACCCTTCAAGCCCAGTGGGCTCTCGTGTGAGGGGGCGTGTTGAGAAATATAGTCCCACATTGGTTGTATGTGCAACTAATGTGGAGTTTATAAGGCCTTGGGCACTCCCACCCCTTGAGCTAGCTTTTGGGGTGGTGTATCCCAAGGTTCTTTACACAGAATAAGAAAATAAAAAAACTTGTTTGATAATGCTTGTTTTGTAAAAATAGTTCTAAAAATTATATCTATTTTTTAATTTTTAGAATCAAATTTAGAGAACACGTTTCAGTTGTTTCTATAATGTGTTTTGACTTTTAACTTAAAAAAAAAACCACATTAAACACTCGTTTTATTATCTACTCTACAAAACAGTTTTAAGAACAAAAAAATATAGAATACAATCAAACAGGCTCTTATAGACAAGTAAATTATTGATATATTTTTGGTAGAGTAAACTCTTCCTTCACAAAGTTAATCTAACAGATAACCAAGCCTAACTAACACCTCTTGAATCTGAATATAACTTTCCTTGAGCTCAATGAAATGGAGCCGTAGCTATTCAAAATCTTTGCAGATATGCAACGGTAAGATTGTATACGTGAATTGCTCTCACCCCATCTTCTTTAGTCGGGATTTAACGGGGAGTGGTTTTAAGATGTTACGCAAACAGTAGATCTTGGTTGTACTTGAGACTTGCATTAAATTAATCCCTCTTTGTTTGTGAGGATCAACCCAGGCCCAAAAGATGAATGTAAATGAATGTATGTTCTTATGTATGTCTTTCTCCTTTGAATAGAATGCAGACTTTGTAATCAAGTGAACAAATTCAATCAAAATGATCAATTCTGAGCATAGACTTTTAGGTTGCAACAAGTGCTGATTGAGAATTTATAATTCATCTTTCTTAATAGTATTGTTATACCATATTATAATTGAAGAGACACATAACTCTGTCAAATAAATACTATTATTTTATCTGGGGTAATAGAAAAATCCAACCTGATCTATATCACTATTATGCTATTAGTTGATTGGCTGCAATTCTGTGTAAGCTTTACTGATTGAGTGTAAAAGTTTGTCTTCAGATATGCTTCCTTTCTTGCCAAACATGCCAAACTCAGATAACAAGAATGATAAGCCTATGAAGCCAACAACAGATGAGTTGATAAAGATTTTAGAGGATGTCCGTCTTGGCTATTTATTGGGTCGTTTCAGCTTGGATTCAACACATGAATGGTCTAGTGTTCTTTCACTGGGAGAGCAGCAACGCCTCGCGTTTGCTCGTCTTTTGATTTCAAAACCTCAATTGGCTTTGTTGGATGAATCTACAAGTGCACTTGATGAAGCCAATGAGGTATTCTTGAATTCCAAGTTCATCTGACATATATGTGAATGTGATATATCATATGGAAGTTCTTGTTATTCAATAAATTTGCCTCTGTAATTTCTTGCATCTAATAGAGACACTATAAAAGGGAGAGTCTGGAGTAGTGGTAAAACCAGTGTTTTAAAACTCGGATCGGTCATTGACGCGGTCGAGGTACTGGGTCACTGGGTCAGTGGTTCAACCGGGTTCAACCGGATTTTAAAATAATATATTATAAATTTATATAAATATATTATTCATATTAACAACTCATGGTGCTTTTGACATTTCCTCAAACAAGTCGTGTACAAAAAAATTGAATAGTGATTAATTTTAAATTAAACAAATATCAAATGAAGTATATCAATTGAAGATGGATAAATATTAATGTTTATTCCATGAAACAGTTACCTGTTCTTCATTATCTTCCCAGAATGGTTAAAACATCATGCATTGATCATCCAAAGTAAACGTTTCTGACGTCATTTGCATCCACATCTTAGGTGAGTCCAAAGGTCAGCATTGTTGCTCCAATGAACGCCACTTTCTTTGTCTTCTATGTTACTACTTAACGCAATAAGACCCAAATAAAAACTATCTCATTGTTTTTCTTTTTCTGCTGCACTCTCCAAAAACATGTTCGTCGCCTTTGCTTCCCCGCGAGTCCTTTATCCACTTCTTCTTCTTCTCCTCTCATTCTTCTCACTACTAAATAGTGTCAAATCTGAGGAGCGTCAAATTCTACTGAACCTGAAATCCTCACTTAAGAATTCAAATTCAAGAGTGTTTGACTCATGGAATGCAATTAATTTCATGGAATGAGACATCATATGCAGCTGTGTCTTGAAGCTCCGTAACCAGATTCTGGTTTTGGTGCGTGGCTCACAAATTTTCGACACCCATTTTCTCTTTAATGAAGATTTGACAGTGCGAGCTTGGTTTGAAGGTTGAGGAGGTTCCACATCGACCAGTACATAAGAAAGATATCAGTTTATAAACCATTTTGGATGAACACAGTACAACTTGCGTTGCTTAATTGTCATCAGCTGATGGGTAAAAACAACCTCGCGGGTTTCGTATTTTTACAGAACCGGCCAGTCGAACCCGGTTATGACCGGGTCAAAACGGTTCGAATGCATGTACGATATGACGTGTAACTCGAACCGGTGAAGGGACTGGTTTACCGGTTTCCGGGTTGACCTGGCCGGTTCGAGCGGAGTTTTAAAACACTGGGTAAAACTATTATTTTGTGACTGAAAGGTCACGGATTCAAATTTGCAAAATAATCTCTTTGTAATTATATAAGGGTAAAATTGTATATAAGGATTGTCTTCACCCCATCTCACTACTTGGGATTTAATGGTGATTCATGTTCTTGTGAAGAACTTTAGCTAAGGCCAAATGATCTAAGCCTTTATTCATTTTTTTTTTTAATTTAATTTACCATACTAATTTAACTGATTCTATACATATTTGGATTAGCTTATTGTGTGTTTAGAAAAGCATAAAATCCAAATGTTATATAGGGAGAACTTTTGGCTGAGAAGTTTTATATATATATACATATATAAGATGTTTGTCTTGCAAGCTGGAGGTAAAGTTATCTCGCGCAGACATAAGGGAATGGGTGGGGTCCCCTTTTTCTTTCTCTCCTCTTCACAAGACCCCACCTATTTCCGTGTGTCTGCAAGAGATAATTTTATCTCGAGCTTGCACGAGAAATATTAAACCTATATATAAAAGTTGAACAAAAACAAAACATGCTAAACTTGAGCAATCTTCTAAGGAGATCCAAAAGAGTGTAGGATTTTAATGAATGTTATCATGATATATGCCTACAGGCTACATGTGGTACTAAAATTCATTTTCTTGTGCTTTGGCTTACAGGTTCATTTGTATGAAAAGATTGGAGTAGCAGGCATAACATACATCAGCATTGGCCATCGCTCAACCTTACGTGACTACCACAACAGGGTCTTACGCATATCCACAATCGATTCTAACCAAGAACAGCAAAATTGGTGCGTTGAATCCATTAGACGTGAATCCACTTTAAAATTTACAAATCTATGATGGTAGAGGGCTTCAGAATTGATTGCAAAGCTTTGCTGCATACATTCTCAGAAGACATTTATGCTTCAAATTCATTGAACAATAGTTTTGATGTATATGGATGTCAATTTGTAGATTTTCCCTTGCAACTAGCTGCTATAACGTTCAAGTTTAATTCATACAGGTTGATAGAAACACTAATAGAAGAATGTTTCTTTTAACTTAGGAGTCTTTCTGTTTTCAATTCAATTTTTTTTGAAGTAATGCATCTTTCATAGATTATGGTTTTGATTCAGTGCATCCAATTTACATGCACTAAGTTGATAAAGTATTGACAAATTATTAATACACATTCTACATAATGTAATATTTGTTTAAGAGGTAGGTCATATTTATGACTTTTTTCCGTTATAATCTTTTAGAACCATTTAGTTAGATCAAAATTAAGTTAACGTCTCTTGTTTAATATTATTTTATAACTGTTGATTTGATTTTAATTGAATGATAAGAAAAATGATAAGAAGTTCTGACTAGAGTCCACATCTTACCACCGATGACAACGATCAAAATGTCACATTATTCACACAAAATTACTTGAATGCCACGGACTGGAAATTTTTTTCTTCAAAATACCATGTCACCTAGCTCGCCACAACACCTGACGAGTTAGGTGTGGACACGTGGCAGTAGGTTTATGGCCACGTAAGCCGCTGCACTTACGTGGCAGACAGTGTGTCAAACTCGTTATGCTGCATAGCATGTTACGTGTCAGCTTGGCGTGTTACTAACACGTGTCAAACTCGCTATGTTGCATAGCATGTTACGTGTCAGCTTTTCTGACACGTGGCCATTCATAGGGGTGACAAAAACGAACCAACCTGATAACCTGTCAAAAATGAGCTGCCAACCCGAGCCAACCCGACCCGAGCCAGTTTGGAAAAAAACGAGCCAACCCGCGGGTCAAACGAGCCAGCTCGCGGGTTGAGTATTTTTTTTTTATAAAAAAATACAAAATATAATATACAAAAATGGACAAAATCCGCACATATTGTTATCGTCTTTCTTCCTTCTCTAAACCTAAGTCCTTAATCTTCTCACATCCCTCCCATTTTTATATTGTTAGGCTATGCTGGCTCTATTTGGTTCAAATATCTTACCCACTTAGTAGCGAGTGGTTCTGATTGTTTCTTGATATTGATGCAAATTTATTGTGAAGAAAATTCGAAACTAGAATATTTTGATTTTATTTCTCATTTTGTAACCATTTGTTTAAGCTGATGGAAGCCACATAGCCAGTGCATTAATACTACAGGTTCATTTAAATAGCTTGAAAACAAGCCAACCCGCGATCAATTTTCGAGCCAACCCGCGAGCCAATTTTCGAGCCAACTCACGAGCTCTTTCTTCAAGGCAACCCATGAGCCATATTTTTGAGCCAACCTGCAAGCCAACCCTAACCCGTCTCGGGTTGAGTTTTCTGGCTCATTTTTTTTTGAGCCAACCCTAACCCGACTTTTTTTTTCGAGTTACATGCGGGTTGGGCCGCGTCTAGCTGGGTTGGCCCGTTTTCCCAACCCTAGCCATACATGTTGTGCTGCATAGCATATTATGTGGGCTAAAATATAAGTTATACCCTTGAACTTTGACCGTGTTTCAAATTACCCCCTTGTACTTTTAATTGTTTCAATTAACCCCGTATACTTTATAATTGTTTCAAATCAACAATTCTGTTAAAAATTTTAGAAACGCTGTTAAACCTCCTCACATGCTCTAAGCCCCAAATCTCAAAATTTTCTCTTTTCTTCTATATTTTCCCATCTCTTATTACAATTTTCTTTGGATCTTTTCTCAGTACTTTGGGATGATTTTGATTTGGATCAGAGAAGATCAATGTGTCTCTTTTTTTCTATGTTCTCCCATTGTCTTTTTTGTACATATTAACATCTTCTACGAAGGGGAGACAATCAGCCGGACTTCGGAGTCAGAATAATAATTCAAAAAAGGTTTTTGTTTGCTTTGCAGGCATGAACTAGTCGAGATGTATGTGGTGCCATTTCTTTCATTCACATTGATTGGTGAGGTTGCTTGATTGTAAGGGCCGGGAAAGGGTCTGCCACCACTGACTCATATTTTTTTGTAATCGATGTAGCTTCGTCGTCTGTCTCGGGATCGGTAGTGTTCCCCCATTCCTTAGTCTTCGCTTAAAGGATGTTGATGTTTCTTTTATTTAAGATACAATCTGTAAGTAAGTTACCAAAATTTTCTGTGTTGTAGACGACGGAGAGTCAATAGAAATAGAATATGAATCCCTATAGAAGAAAGTTCTCGAAAGGAGAAGGGGAATTGACCAGTTCTGGAATTCACAACTACAAAAATCACAAAAGAAATTTTTGAGATTTGGGGCTTAGGGCATGTGGGGAGGTTTAACAACGTTTGTAAAATTATTAACAGAATTGTTGATTTGAAACAATTATAAAGTACAGGGAGTTAATTGAAACAACTAAAAGTACAAGGGGGTAATTTGAAACATGATCAAAGTTCAAGGGAGTAACTTATATTTTAGCCTATTATGTGTGAGTAGCCCAGATCTCCAGCGCTTTTGGTCTAATAAATTCTCACTCCTAAAAATAATTAATTAAAAGTTCTAAATTAAATTAAATTACTTAACAGTTAAAAATAATTTAACTTAACATAAACTAAATTATATTAATTAACACTCCTACATTAAATTAAATTAATTAACACACATAAATTAAATTAAATTAACAGTCCTAAATCAAATTATTTTAACATAAGTTATTTAAAACTAAAATATTCAAACCAATATTAATTTTCCTTAAATCCTTTTATTTTAAAATATAGAATTCAATAATTAAAATTATCCTATAATTTATTAGACCACAATGATGCAAGAAATGAAAAGGGAAATGATGAATTTAGTAGACCAAAAACGCTAGACTGCTAGGCTAATTACACATAATATGCTATGCAGCACAACATGTATGACCACGTGTTAGTAAAGCTGACACGTAACATACTATGCAGTATAGTGAGTTTGATACGTGTCAGACATGTAACACGCCAGTTGCCACGTAACATGCTATGCAGCATAGCGAGTGTGACCCGTAATCTCGTTGCACTGTGCAGCGGCTTACGTGAGCATGAACCTACTGCCACGTGTCCACACCTAACTCGCTAGGTGTTGTAATGAGTTAGGTGACATAGCATTTTTGAAAAAAAATTCTGGTCCGTAGCATTGAGGTAATTTTTTGTGAATAGTGTGGCATTTTAGTTGTTGTCCCATCCTATACCTTGTGATCCCAAATTGTTGAGATGTATATAAGTTGGGATATATCTATGGAGATTACACTTCTTTGTCTTAATCACTTGACATATGATTACAATGATTTCTCTCATTTTACTCCACTAAGATGAAGTGTTGCTAATGCAATGAAGTCACATACCTAGTTACGGGGATGGGACTATGGCTTTACCCTTTCTCTCTCATTTTCACATACTTTACTAAATTCATCTCTATGTAGTAAACTAATCTATGTGAGTCAAGTATCTTAATTGTGTGGTATTAATGTATTTTACTTTCTAGGAGTGGATTAGTGATGAATAACTTGGATAGGTTATAAATTCAAATCTTAGTGTCGTCATTGTATAACAAAAAAATGAATTCTACCTTCTTTATAATATTTTCATCGAGTAGATCATTGGGAATGATACTAAGAGGGGCAACTAAATTATATGGATGACTTCAATTCGGGGGATGACAAAGCCATAAAATTTTATAAGGACATATATATTTCTTTAAAGTTACACCTATTTATGTAATTAAAACAATAGAAATAATCCTCACAACTAAAGATTTATATAAATTTAAAAGGGGGAGGCGATCACTTGTAACATCTCCTCCTCGTGGTTCAAGAGGGGAGTAACATATCATATTGTTATGGATATATACCATATCTTAACTACTTATCTAAGAATCCATTAAAGGATACTCATCCAATTATCCTAATAATAAAATAGTAGGGCTGCTCAGGATAGAACCCTTATCCCAACAGAAAGGAAGTTGAATCTCACTACAACTGGAAGATCTACACAAGCCCAAGAGGTAACTTTATAAATAAGAGGTTAAAGACCCCATGTACAGACTTTTTGACCTACTTTACTATTGCTGCCAACACTGTGCACACACCCACGTCTTGGCTATAAGCCTATTGCTTGTGCGCAATGATTGGAGTGTTGGCTATGTTGAAAATCGACAATCACACAAAATCGAGAAAACAGAAAAAGAGATAAGAGTACAGAGATTGACACGATGATTTACCCTGGTTCACCCAATTAAGGCTACGTCCAGCTTGTCTGTACTATATTCTCCTCACCGCCACTCGTTACAAGTCTCTCGGTTTACAAGGCAAATATAAATAGGATTACTAAATCCTAATAGCAGTTATTCATGGGCCCAAGCCCAAACTGCTAAGAAAATTACAATAAAACAGAGGCCCACAACAGTACCTAGCCTCTACTGGCCTGGGGGCGCTGCCAACTAGGGCCCCAGTTGCCTTTTTGCTGACCTCGACAATTAGGGCCCTCATCAGCATGCGAAGTATGAGCCATACCCAACAGGCTATAAGCCAATCTAGATATCTATCTCTAGGGTATCTCTGAGCGCATACCATACGATCTTCTAGGACCTTACACATATTAAAAAATTAAACTGTAAAAGAAAAAAAAATCTCAACCACTACAGTTTTGTACCACGCATACATAAAGCTATTACTACCCTCACCCTATTATCGATAAAATATAAAATTTTAAAAGACTAGTTAAAAGATCTTTAGCTAACTTTAAAGTTACTGCAATGGTGATGTCTCGGAAATGGATTCAGTCTTGGTATTTTGGCTATAACTTAAACTTTCCACCATGGATATTGATGTTCTTTGGTTCTACACTACTAGAAAAAGCTTGTATACTGACGAAATTATTATGAAAATTCCGTCACTAATTTCATCGTCACTATTACTTTCCGTCACAAATTTCCTCGCAAATTATTTTGCGAGGGAATTTGTGACAAAAAGTAATAGCGAGGATGAAATTAGCGACAGAATTTTCATAACAATTTCGTCACTATACAAGTTTTTTCTAGTAGTGCTATGAAAAGTTGAGAAGAGTATCTACAACTTTCATGTGGATTTCAAGACATGATTTGGAGTTTAAATAGAGCATGAAAGTACAACAGTGGTACTGTCACAGAATTTGACACAGTTTTGGAGTTTCAGTTAAATCAGAAGCTATAAACATCAGATTTTGCTATTCTCTGGTCTTTTGGAAAGC